CCCCCCCCCGGCCTAGTCGCTATCATGAGTGCGGGAAGCATGTGTCTCGTCTATCGTACAAGGCAGCATCCCAGTGGATAATCATTTGCTTGATGTCGGAGCATCCCATTATCAAGATCAGCGAGCATGGGTGAAGGAGGGTTCAGGTACATTCTCCATACCACAGTGGGCGCCGAGCGCGCTACCAAAGGTGAGGTAACGCAAAGAAAAGAGCAGCACAATTCTTCAAGTGAAACAACATCATTCAAGTGCTAGAGGTCTGACTCCTGACGTCGATTTGTCTGTATATTTGGCAGAATCTATCAGTATCTGCCATGGCTACTCTGGCAGCGTGACGGTGTCCAGACAGCCAGCACCCGCATCAGCACAGCCAGCCCGTATAGACCTTGCCAGCTGCCCACCTACATAGCCGACAAAATCCCAGACCAGTAATGAGATCATGGTGTGACACAGCACTTCCCATCCTCTGAGCTGTCTAAGCAAGACCCTGAAGCCACATGTCAACTAACAGGGACCTGATTACCGCCTGACCCACAGGAGACGGTAGGATGGTATGTAGTCATGACTGACGGGGAATGGATCTCTGCAACCAGCGGAAGGTGGGTGGCAATGCAGCCTAAACCGGACAAACCCAAGCATGCCTGGGGGTCTCAGAAAAGGATATTACGGCAGCTACCTGTGGACACCACACAGGTGGCCGTGGGCCATCCTTGTCACCCCCGTCGTGAACCACGGTGAATATCATCAAGCAAACATCATTCCGCCAGTGCGCCTAGTGATAACCAATTCCGGAACAACACGGCGGACCATTAAGGGGGACGTTCAGTGACGTACACTGCACGCGTTCATACTGCGCCCAATAAGCTGGGATTGTAAGAGAAACCTTCCACCAGTGGTTTGTCTATGCCATGTTTGTTAGCCTTCGGAGAGCGTGTTGCAAGTACCGGTCTCACCCCTGGTTAGATGTAAGTGACGTATCCGACACACGTAGTGCTACACGTACATGAGGGTCCAAACGAGTCGCCCTTCTTGGCCGACCTGAACTTCTGCTTTATCGCCTCCTCGAACATCGGCTTTTCGAGCCCCGGAGCGCTCCACACTTGTAGTTTCACGTAGCTCGAGTCATCGATCCGATGAGTATACAAGACTGAAGCAAGATTGGCGTCTGCGTAGTGTCCGCCGTTGAATGTACCAAGGCGCCCCTGCGTGAGGTGCTTAATCCATTTGTTTCCAGCGCCGTAGTTCATCTTAGGATAGTCAGTGGTAGTGCCAGCGGCTTGCATGTTGTGGACGTCGTGAGAGTGCGACATCATTGCCCTCGATGCTGGGGGTGGTGAGAACGGGGTGGATCACGTTGTCCACGACGACGACGACGACGATGACGGTCACCCTCGGTCACCTAGGTCACAGCGCTTTATGGGCGCCTCATTGTAGGCGCCCATTCTAGAATGCCGGTAACTGACGGACGGTCCTCGGCCTTCTTCTGGCATTTCCTCCGTTTCTGCCGTTGTTGTGTCATGCCCTTTTCATTAAGTAGTGAACATCCCATACTTGTATTACAAGAACCGCGGACATAGTAAGGGGGATCAACAAACTTAGTCTGCAACACTATCACTGATTTTTGATTGACCGTGTCGTCACAACAAGCTTTGTACGACTTCCATCTCGTAAGATACTACTGTGTCTGGGAACGCTGTGAGTATCTCTGCCACATTTCGATTCATCAAGCCGCGCTGGCATCACGCAAGGAGACAGACTGGAACACAGGACATCGAACACAGGACATCGAACACACGACGGGTGTTCACCGAGTGGGTACCAATCTATATCGGTCGCGATTATGCAAAACCGTATCCTTACGGACCCTCCTTCTATTACTATTTGAGCTATAGGATGCACGGTTACGCCCCAACACAGGAATCCACACGACGACAAACGTCATTGCTCGCCATTGAATCTTTCCGTGACATCCGTTCTCGTCGGCTCTTACGACGCCCTACAGCGCTCGAGTCTCGCGGCTCTTGATTTATCTGAGCCTTCAAGCAAGGTCACACATTCGCAAAACCAAGAATTCATCTTGTCAGATGTGTCAGTACTTCGGCATTTGGGTCGATTGGTGGCGCTCGATTAGGCCTAGGCCTTCGGCGTATACTTCAATCTGCTTGAACGCCGTACAAATGAAGGGAAGCCGCTGCTCAGCTGGTTGTTCTTTGTGTACAAGATCACAGGCTCATATCTACGCCACTCTCTTCCTGCCAACTTCTATGCCAGAGTTCAGTTTGATGACAACGTGGACGTCTCACGCCTTAGCCGCCCAGGACAGCGCTAATTAACCTTTAGCACAAATCCTGTGTCGGAAGCGGAGAAATAACTCCGGAATATTGTACTGCGTCATAGCACGGAACTGTGCCCCTGACTCACCCAGCGGGGGTTTGTCCTCTTCCGGGCTGCAGACACAATCCAGTGATCATCAATGATGCTCTGCACCTAGCCGCCACAGCTGTAACTCTCCCTCTACCCTTGCGCGCTCGCCGCAGGCGCTCAGCATGAACTACACCCCGACAGGAGCCGCAGGCATTTCTGCCACATCTCGATCATAAGTTCATCGCTATCCCACTCAGATACAACTCATCGTCATCACGGTCGGACCGCTATCATGTTTAGTGACCTTTGTTGCGTCAACTCCTCGCTCGCCGGACTTCAAGTCCATCCGCCCAACATTGGCACCGCCCCCTCCGAGCAGCGTCCGTGGCAGTGATCTGCACCGCCCTGCCCAAGATCCGTCCCGCCAGCCAATCTGTGGCGCGAATCCGATCGTGGCCACAAGATTTATGGGCTACCGGCTGCACGACACGGTCAACGTACACGGGCCGTACGAAACTAATACTTCTCCCGCTCCAACCGATGCGCGCTGCTGCCGCCTTAGCACGATCTTGATGGCGCGCTCCCTTGGCCGGCGACCTGTCCGTGCCGTCCTTGGTATCGACACATCGGCAGCGGCTCGCGGCCTTAGCACTCAGGATCTCCGGTTGCTGGCGCGCAGGCCCCGCAATCATTACTATTCCCGCGCCCAGGGATTTTGCTTGTACTCCGACTCCGGATAGGCACGGCTTTCTAGACGATGACCGCGAAACGCCGTGGGACGGATGTATCGTCCCTCGCGACGCGGAGGCTTCCATCTCTTTCTGGACGGCGCTGAAGGCGCACGTCCGTATGCACTGTGCCGCACCCGGCTCGCATGATCCTACCGAGATATTGGCGGTACGTGACTGCGGAGCCGAGTGCTCCTGCGTTACAGGATCAGAGCGCGAGCCTATGCTTGAAACGCTCAGCTCGGCCGCGGGGACCAGTCTGACAGCTGTGCAGGTTTGGATGACTTGAACGCTCACCGGCGTTCGTGTCCGTACCAAGTATCGTTTCTGGGTATAAAATCAGCGGGAATGGGGGCAATGGATACTCATCCTCCACTCAGTGTCTCACCCAAACTCGCATTCGCATCCACCTGTTCTTCACCCTACTAAACATGCCCTCCGCTATTCCTATGCTGTATCTCCCCGATACAATGTCTGCATGGCCGTGGCAGAGAGCAATCAACCCCTATTTCAATGAGGTCAAGGCAGCGTCGAACTCCTGGTTCAAGAGCTTCAGAGCCTTTTCGCCTGCCTCGCAGAAGGCCTTCGACAAATGTGATTTTTGTACGCGCGATTCCTCTTGGTCATGTATGGCGTCAATATATTGAAGCTCATTGGCACAGGTCTCCTCGCTGCTCTTGCCTACCCACGAGCACGCAAAGGTCAGGCACCTACTTTGATAGTGTCGCGATGTATGTCTGATGTCGCGCGCCACAGAACACCTGCGCACCGGCTGCGATCTCATGAACCTGTTCTTTGTGATTGATGAGTACACCGACGTCGAGGATGCCAATGTCTGCCGCGACATGGTCGACATCGTGATCGATGCGCTGCGCCGCCCCCATGACCCCCGGCCAGAGGGAGAGGTCGTTCTCGGCGAGATCGCACGACAGTAAGTCAAATTCATTTTACCAAATGCTTTGGAGGTCACTCATGACCGTATAGGTTTTGGGCGAGAGCAATAGAGACAGCTAGCCCGACGTCGCAGCGCCGCTTCCTCGAGACCTTTATAGCCTACCTCGAATCTGTTGTTTTGCAAGCCGCAGACCGCGACTGCGACGCCGAGCACACGGTCCAAACGTACCTCGCACAACGACGGGATAACATTGGCTCATACCCTTCATATGCCGTCCTGGAACTCGCCCTCGATATCCCCGACGATGTATTCTACCATCCGGCTATGAATGAGCTCTCCCTATACGCTACAGAGATGCTCATCATCGATAATGTAAGTTGTCGACTTCTGTCTTGTATCTCGCAAGACATGAACATATGATTGTCTAGGACCTCGTATCATACAACCGCGAACAGGCGAGCGGGGACACGAACAACATTCTCTTCGTAATCATGCGCCAATTCAACTGCTCGCTCGACCACGCCATGGCGTGGGCAGCAGCCTACCATTCTCAGCTTGAGGCCAGATTCATGGACGCGTTCAAGCGGATGCCTTCATGGGGTCTCGAAATCGACTCACAGGTCGAAGAATACTGTCAAGGGATCGCGAATTGGCCACGAGGCAATGACTGCTGGAGCTTCGAAAGCGGGCGGTACTTTGGAGACAAGGGTCGCGAGGTGCAGAAGACGCGGTGTGTGCCTCTCCTGCCCAAAAAGGAGCGCGACACAAGCCTAAGGCAGCAGGACGTGGTGATCACATCTCTCTGAAGCCGATCATTGATATCCCCTTAATGGACTGTGCCTAATGTAAAGTGTAGTACAATCGCTCCAGGTCGTGCATACATATCGTAGATTAGCATATAGTATACCAGCCCTACTTAATGTCTTGGTTTTCGCCTTCCGCTTGGAATAGCAATAGTATAGCATAATGTAATTGTTCGCCGAGACAGTGGTAACAATATATGAATTTAGAAATCATTTAGCTCTCGACCACGGGCACTCTTGTCCTCTAGGTTTGGCATAGGAGTATATCACAAACTAATCTACACATAGTATCACTGTAATTGGGGCACCCTTAGCTTGATACGGTCAACGGAATGCTCAGCGAGCCGGTAGGATCTCTGAGTGTCACCTTGGACAGCCTGGGCTCGTCTCCCAGCAGGTGGCCGCACCATGTTCTGCAACTCGACACATGAGCGAACACAATTGACCCAACTAATAGCACTGATCTAATCTGATGATCTTATTAGCACGTGGACCATATAGTGAAGTGTTTTGTAGGGTAAATTGTGTTTGCTCGACATATACGATACTTTTGATGATACGATGCAGCGATCTGGCTGGAACTAAAGATACAATCTCTTTCAAAGATTTTGACCCGAGTTGAGCGTCAGCCACAATCCTTCAAACATCTCGAGGTTTCCTGTGCAGTTTCTCGTTTTCGAGAAGAAAAAAAGCCACAGCAAGGTCTCATGTACGATAACATCATTGCAGAGTCGCGATGAGACTCATCATACTGAAATTTCCTTCCATAGGAGTATCTAAGTCGGGACAGTGCCCCTGAGCATAGAGACTGTGAATCTTCAGTTCGGGTGGGCTTTCCCATGCATAACACGTGTCAGTTACGCGATTGCTCCGTCGTCCGCCGGCCAGGTTGACTTCAAAATGCAATGTGTGCCAATACATGCTATATGGTGCCAAAATTTCGACGCATCATTTCTATATATTTCCCTTACGGTATGTCATCATCTCATTACTACTCGTTCCAACTGTTTGTTCCGCGACATAAGTTGATTAGAACGGACAATTTAGGTGCCTAACAAGCACCGAGACGCGGAAAAATCCTTCCAGTCGCTTCTTCGGCGTGGAGCTGTCCGATCTGTAAGTATACAGATCCTCTTATCAACAAGGAGGGTAGCCTTAATCGGAAGTTTGAGCCCTTGGAGCACGTCAAACGACATAGGCTCCACATTGCGGCCCTGCGGCCCTGCTTCTGCTTACATATACACGTTATAGTCTTTGTTCTCTCATCAAGTGCCTCCAACATACCAACAACATGAATGCATCATTCGACCCCCAGACGGTTGCTGCTGTTGTAGCATTGGGACTTCTCTGCCGTTGGCTCCTCGCACTTTGGTACAACACTGTCAATCTCCCGCCGGGTCCGACGGGGCTTCCGTTTCTGGGAAATGTGCATCAAATTCCGCTGCAATACCCCCACAAGACGTTGTACGAATGGGGTCAGCGATATGGTGCGCTCAAAGGGCTCGTTGCTCAGGAGGAATAAGCTAATAGACATCTGCTCTGTGTAGGCGACATCATCCATGCGCGGTTATTTCGGAAACATGTGCTAGTCCTGGACTCTACAAAAGCTGCAGAAGACTTGTTGGATAAGAGAGCCGCCAAGTATTCTGACCGCCCGCATTTTACTCTACTTGTAGATTTGTGGGCACATACGTCAAGTCTATCCTATTTAAACCTAACGCATGCTCAAGGTTACAATGGAAGCCTCTCATGGTGTTCATGTCTCAAGGCGAAACATTCCGGCTTCATCGCAAATGGTATCAATCATTCCTCGAAAACAGACAGTCCCTCCGCACATATGAATCAATGCAACAATGTGAGGTGGACCGCCTTTTACTCGCCCTGCTCGAGAGCCCCGAAAACGTCGCATATCATTTGAAGCGGTGCGTGATACCCATGTACTGGAACTGTCAGACATTTCATCTTCACAACCTACAACTGAAGGTTTACGGGCTCGTTGATGCTTGAGATTGCATACGGGTATACAGAAACCTCGGAGAAGGACGCTTACATACGCCTGGCGTCAGAGACCATTACTCAGTCTCTGGAGGCCGGAAGCTTGGTCGCGAGCCTTGTCGACTTCATTCCTATACGTGAGGATATCCCCACAACTTTGTCATGATGAATAGTATACGATTGACTATTTCTGGCTCACTTAGTGTTATATCTTCCGCACTGGTTCCCAGGTGGGGGTTTCAAGTCAAATGCAATGAAGTTGCGCGGGCGTGTCTGGCAAATCATGGAGTCTCCCTTTCGATATGTCCAGCAAGCGATTGTATGTGGTCCACTCGATTTGTTGTGCTTGAGTGCTCATAAATAATGAAGACATGTAGCACTGCAAGGCCATCGTTTACATCGTTCATGATCGATCAGACCGCAAAGGAAGGGCAACTCACTGAGGAAGATGAGCTTAACATCAAAGGCGCTGCAATTTTGATGTACTCAGGTCAGCTAGATTCTTATGATGTCGATGACTCGCTGAATGGCAGGCTTGAATTAGGCGGAACTGATACTGTGAGATCGATCTGCCTTGTCTGCCGCTCGCCCTTTGACTTATCGGCCACCTCAGACGAACACTGCCCTCTTGACTCTTGTACTCACTGTTGCCCTCCACTCTGATGTTTTACGCAAAGCTCAGGCAGAAATTGACGAAAAGATTGGACCGAGCAGGTTGCCAACGCTGGAAGATAGGGCATCATTACCTTACGTCGAGTGTATTGTCAAGGAGGCATATCGGTGGGCTGCTATTCACATCCCACATGATTCATTGACTGAACAGTGTTCGTAAGCTGGAATCCGGTTTTACCTGCTGGTAGGTTTGTATACACAATGCCGCCTGAGGCTAACGTAATTGATCGTTCTCGCTAGGCATCCCACACCAACTGAGGGAGGATGATGAATATCGTGGCTATCACATTCCACGAGGGTCGATGGTCATCTTGAATATCTGGCAAGTTTACAAATTTTTACATGAGATGTAGTGCAGACGGCTGATCCCATCATAGGGCAATGACGCGGGATTCTGCAACCTATCCTGATTCGGACTCGTTCTTGCCCGAGTGTCACAGTTTCCCTAATTTTACCTAATTTTTCTGCTATTTCTGCGGACATATCAAAGGGTATAGGGACTTATCGATACTTATCCGTCCGCATATGGGTACAGCTGCATATCTAAGGGGTTATCCGCTTAAATAAGCGACACATGATCTTGTTCTGGACACATCAGGCTGGACTCTGATGCCGGACCTTTTCTAGATAGAAACCAGGCTCCTTCTGGACCATGACATCATTCTGACATCATAGGTAGCAGCTAGGCTCAGGCACTAGGCCATAGGCCGGTCAATTCTGGACCTGTCACGAGTTGGTACGGCGCCTAGCCGTTTTTTAATTTTTCCTTTTTGCGGGCTCGAACCCGCAACCTCTGTACTACCTGCCTGATATGGACACGTCGTTATCTACTGTACGATTAGATTAGATAGGACGGCAGTGCACGGCACAGCTCGGGCCCCGCTGACGCAGCCGTTCTGACTCACCGGCCCCCGGGGCCGCGTCGGCATGCTGCGCACAGACCAGCTGCGCACGGACCAACGCGCACAGCCCGCCCTAAATCTTCCCATGTATATAAACCAGCCTCTGCTGCCCTAGGGACCTCAGTTTCGACCTCTTGTCCCTAGGTCAGTAAGCTCTCCTGTACTTACTTCTTTTACTTACTAACTAATACATTCTTGTCCCTAGCCTTAGGTTTGAGCCTAGCTCACCATCGCTTCGGTAAGATAAGTCGAACGCCCCCAGCATTTTGGTTTTCCCCTGTCGCTCGACCCTAAGTCGCGACATTAGGTCGAAACTCCCCAACGCTGCCGGC